AGGAATGTCATTATCTTGATGGCAAACCTCAGGTAATGAATGTTTACAAAGCAAATACAACTCAGGCAAAACAAAATCACTAATGCAAAGAAGGATTAGAGAGAGGAAGTAAACATATGTTAGACTTTAACTAGAGATAATTAATTGTGTTAATTACTATGCTAAACAGTAACGAAAGCTGAGCAGAAACTAAAGTTAACCAGTGTTAGAGGATTACTAAAAATGTGTATAAATGCAAGACTAGACTCCAATAAAGTCCATCATGATTCATTTGATCATGATCAAACACCTCGACTGCCTCGTCATTACAACAACTGCCTTGAATTTCTTACAAGGTAATAAAGGTAGGATAAAACTCTTAACAAATGTGAACGAAGATTTCCCGCCACATGTTAAAATTTAACGCTACCTCTGTGTTGTTCCTTGCTCAGCTCGGACACAACGCCTCTTCTGAACGGATCCAGCCAAGACCGCATGTTTGAAGCGATGGCTGTGGAAATTGAACAACTGTTGGGAAAGGTAAGACCAGCTCTGACTCCTGCTGGAAAAAAACTGAAGGTCTGTGGAGGTTCTCGATTATTATCCAAGTCGTAGTTGTCCCAACTACAAGAGCCGAAGAAGCTTCTCGGATGAGAAGCGAAATGTCTTCAAAAGAAAAAAAACAAGGAAGGTCCCGTTGCTTCCTGGTTAAAAAAAAGCCCCTTTGAGACAACCCAGGATCTGGATGGCAGAGAATCTCTACAGAGGTAGAGATTTATCCCATTTGGGATAAAAGTTCTTGGAATGGTGTGGGAGGAGGAATGGTTTTCCAGAGGAAAAAAAAAATGGAGACAAGAGGAGCTTGTGGTGACTGACCCAAAGGGACGTGGCACGAAAGCAACAAAGTCACAAAAGTAGGTAAAGTCCCTTTAAAACTTCCAACTTGGCCCCCCATGTCCAAGTTATCGTCGGCTGGAGGAAAAAAAAACCTCTGCCAAGAACAGTTTTTAAAGGGAAGAAATTCAGTCCGAACACAAAGTACATATAGATTATAAATTAAAAACCAACACAAACCACAGCTGCAGCAATTAACGAGACAGGGCAGGATAAGGAATTGCAGACTTCCAAAAGATAAGGAAAAATACACAGTTGGGAGGACGCCAGAACCCAGATAAGACATGACAAACGAAGATAATGCAAGCTTTGCTTCCAGCAAGGTGCTGTTTGCAAACGCCCTTTTAAAATCCTGTTTTCCCAGCTGCAGCTAATGAAGGGAATCAGGGCCCTTTCCTCTCCCGTAAGCCATGTTGCTCCCTTCTTCCCTGTGTGTCCTAGGATGAAGAGAGGGTCGGGCCTGGGTCTTCCTCTGAATGCCCAGCTGGACTTTGCCCTTCTCCAGTTTCCTCCACAGCTACCGGAGCCACACTCCTACTCCCTGTCAGCTGCTCGACCTCCCCCTCAGAATCAGATCCCAACAGGGACATGACAAAACTATTAGCACCACTCAGGTGACCCTGAGGACACAGAGAGACCTCCCGGTGGCCTCAACGACCCTCTAAAACAGGGGTAGTCAGCCTTTTTATATCTACCGCCCACTTTTGTATCTCTGTTAGCAGTAAAATTTTCGCTCACCGCCCACCGGTTCCACAGTAATGGGGATTTATAAAGGAGGGGACAAAATCCCTACCGCCCACCATAAAAGCTGGAACGCCCACTAGTGGGTGGTAGGGACCAGGTTGACTGCCACTGCTCTAAAAGGATGCAAATAGATATTTAGCTATGGGATGAACATCCTTCAAATGGTGTGGGAGGAGGAATGGATTTCCAGAAAAAATTGCAGACTACAGGACCCATGTGCGCTTCCGTTTGAGATGCAGGCAACACAAACCCGTCCTCAACAGGACCGTGCCTGTCTTCATTGGCGAAGGGACGCAGGGCAGAAAACATCCTGCAGCCAAGAAGTCTCCACATCCATTTGCACCACTCCGGTGACCCCGAGGACGCGGATAGACCCGCAAGTGGCCTTAACGGCTCTCTAAAAAGAATGCAAACGACCAGCAAAACGCTAACACTGTAAACCGCTCAGAAAGGGCGTAAAGGGCTATAGGGCGGTATATAAATCTAAGTGCTACTGCTAGTAAGTCGAGGAGTATACCTAAATCAGAAATATTCTATGTTGGATTGTGCCCAGTTTTAAGTCGAGACAATGGGCTTATACAATAACAATTGGTTTAACGCAGGGATGTCTGTGGCAACCTGACTTGGGGACTTCCAACTCCCAGAATTCCCCAGCCAGCAAGGGGGAATTTGAGGTTTTTAATCAAGGGTCTCCTGCTTGGATGAGGTGGGTGGGGTTGGAGTAGATGAGGGGTCGCCAATCTTTTCCAACTCAGGGACCACCAGACTCATACTTTTAAATCCCGTGGACCAGAGACCCTGGGAAAATCCCCCCAAAAGGCTGCAGGGAAATTCCCCACCCCGTTTTCCTACCGATCGTTCTTTATTTGGGATCGCAGGATTCCGTCTCCAGCTCCGTTCTCAGGAGAGAGAGAGAGACTTTTGGCTTCATGCAAAGAAAGCAGCAGAAGCCACAGAAGTCTTTCTTTCTCTCCCCCAAAACTCCGCCAGAAATGAGTCTTTGCCGGCGCAGCCTCTTGGGGCAGGAGGCCTTGCAGGGTCCCCATGACTCATTTCTGGTGGAGTTTGGGGGATAGAAAGAAAGACTTTTGCTGCTTTCCTTTCGTGCAGCCACAAGCAGAAGAAGAAAGAAGTGGAAAGAAGCAGCTCGCTGGCCGGGCGAGGCGCATGGGGCAAGTTCCCCCCCCTCCGCCCTTTCCCCCCTCCCCTCACTACCTCGTGTTGTTCACAATGCAAGCGGCGCAAGCCTTGTCTTCTCGTGGGCCATGTGGGCGGCGCAGCCTTGTGTTCCTGCGCAGCCTGGATTAATTGCTTTGGGGGGGACATTTCTCTGGACCACCAACATTTTCTTACAGACCACCAGTGGTCCCTGGCCCACTGGTTAGCAACCACTGGACTAGAAGGTCTCTTCCAACTCTGATTATTTGTCAATATATTTGATGCATCATGTCAAGTCTGCTGCTTATTGAGTTGTTTGTCACAGATCCACAAAAAGCTCCTGTTTCTCAAAGCCGCTAATGCTCTCCTTTCTCTCTCGTAGCTGACAGCGGTCAACGACAAAATGGCGGAGTACACCAACAGCGCTGGTGTCCCCTCCCTCAATGCGGCTCTGATGCACACCTTGCAGCGGCACAGAGACATCTTACAGGTAAGGCAGTCTCCCTGAGCGTGGGCTTTCGGCTCCCCCATCTGCAGACAGTCCTCGACTTAGGACTGCAATTGAGCCGAACGTGCCCGTTGCTAAGCGAGACATCGGCTAAGTGAGTTCTTGAATAAAAATACTTTATTAAACAAATGCGTACAAAAACAGTAAAATCAAACTTTCCACTTATCGCAACTTAAGCAAAACAGCGTTCGCTCACTCTGACATTTCTTACTCTATGGAAAATTCTCTTTCACGGTTATTACTTTAAACATATAATACAAAGTTTCATCTAATAATATTACAAATCTAATTACATGTAATGTTACTAGTTTCCGTCATACCTTTTTATTTGACTTTGTTTTATTAATTTCATGTCTGCTAGCCAATTATACCAACAATTCCAAATCTTGTAATATTCTGATTCCTCTTTCTTTTTTTAAGTTCCAATGACAGCCTGTCCATTCCTGGTTTCCATTCAATTTTAACTTTAGTGATTTCTTCAAGCCAATTACTAATTTTCCTCCAATACTTTTCTGCCTTTGGGCAGGGCCACCACATATGATAGTAGGTGCCCTGCTCATATCCACATTTCCAACAGCTTTGCCGGGTTATTAGGAAACGTTTGGCAAGTCTCGCTGGCAGTAGGTGCCAGCGATAAAACAATTTTGTATAAATTCTCCTTGTAAGTTGTGGATAGAGTTAATTTACCGTTCTTAAGCGAATCCCTGCCGTAGTCACACGGTCGTTAAGTGAATCCGGCTTCTCCACTGACTTTGCCGGTCAGAAGGTCGCGAAAGTTGACCCTGGGGCACTGCAACCATCATAAACACAGGCCTGTTCCCAAGCCTCAGGATTTTGAACAGTGAATACGGGGAGGTTGCAACCGTCATACAAGTATGAAAAATGCCCCTAAGTCAACTTTGTTCAGTGCTGTTGTAACTTCGAACGGTCACTAAATGAATTGTTGTAAGTCGAGGATTCCCTGTATATTTGCCGAGCCTTTTAGAGTTAAACATTAAACATTCCTGTGCACAAAGCCAGGGAAAGATCTCTTCCCCAGCTTTAAAAAAAAAAATTAAATTATTAAACAAAAATGTTGCAAAGTTTCTTTCCTTCCCATCTGGGTCATTTTTAAATCAATTTAAGCGTTAATGTTTATTAGGGGAATTCTGGGAGTTGACGTCTACAAGTCTTAAAGTTCCTACCGTGTTTTCCCGAAAATAAGACCTACCCGGAAAATAAACCCTAGTGTCATGCCGTTGAGGGAGTCTTACTACGAGGGGGAGATTGAGCAGTTGACAGGGAGTGGGAATATGGCTCTGGTGGCCGTGGAAGAAACGGAGGAAGGGCGCAGTCCAGCTGGGCAGTCAAAGAGAGACCCCAGCCGATACCCTCTTCATCCTAGGGCACGCAGGGAGGAACGGAGAAGGGAGCAACATGGCTTACGGGAGAGAAAAGGGCCCTGATCCCCTTTGTTAGGAATATGAGTCACCTAACAGCTATTTGGGTTAGAAATATAAAAACCAGGATAAACATTTTAAAGCTGTATCTTTAAGAAAATGCAAAACTATAATTAGGTGTGCTTTCAAAAACGGCTATAAGATGGAGCCAGAAACCTGGTTTGTTTAGTCTGAGTCTCAGAAGAGAGTGTGAGTGTCTCTCTGTTTCCTTCTGTTGGAAAGTATTGCCGTTCCTCCATTTCTTCTAATTGACTGATATTACTGGATTTGATGTAAGTCTGATACTAAACTGTTTTTGACACTGGACTTTGATATTTGGATTATCCCTGGATTGCAAAACTGACTGATTTTACCTGTGAATGACTTTTGGACTGCTTATTTTGGACTTTGCTTAAACTTTCTGGAAGTAAAAACCTACATTTACTGTACAGTGTATCTGTGTGCTGTGCGTGTATTATTCAAACACTACTCTCTATACGTTTCCCTGTATGCGCTCATTCTCCTAACGGGGAATGACCTCAACACCTTTCATTGGTTGCAGCTGGGAGAACAGGATATAAGGGGGGCATTTGCACACGCCTCCTTGCTGGAAGCAAAGCGTGCGTTATCTTGGTTGACCTTTATCTGGGTTTTGGTGTCCTCCCAACTGTGGGTAACCGTGTTATCCTTCGCAAGCCTGCAATTTATTATCTTGGCCTGCCGTGTTAATTACTTCAGCATGGTTTGTGTTGGGTTTTTTTAAAAATTTCTAATTATCTTTACTTTGGGTTCGGACTGCATTTCTGCCCTTCGTAGACTGTTTTTGGAAGAGTTCGATCTCCAGCCGAAGATAATTGGACATTGGGAGTCAAGTTGGAGGCATGAAAGGGAATTTATTCTACTTTGGTGGCTTTGTTATTTTTGTGTCATGCACCGTGTCATCACACCAAGTTTGATTTGTTAGTGTGCTCCTAATATAAGCCCTACCCAAAAGATAAGCCCCAGTTAAGGTCATTTTATCAGCTGGCAGGGAGGGGGTTCAGGAGGGCCAGCACCAGAGGTGGTGGGGGCCGACAGTGTTGGGCAGACCGTGCGTCACAGGTGAGTTGATTACGTATCCCAGAGCAGGTGGGGGGGGAGGTCGAGGCTGGGCAGGAGGCATGCGATCCGGATGCACCAAACTGGCCATGGGAAAGCCAAGGGTTGGGCCGGAGTGGCTGGCTGGCTGGCTGCGGGAGGCTCATCTTTGCGTTGTCAACTCATAAAATATTTCTGTGGTCGTTTTAGAATTGCCAACAGAAAGGGATGGCGGGGGGGAAGGGGTTTGAAAGAGCAGTGCGGCAGCTTGGAAATCGAAAGTGCGTTCCATACCTAGTTTTTCAGAGATAGTAACCAGGTGACCGAAGTTTCTGCCACGGAAAATTCTAACTGGAGAGCATGATTGGTGACTCTGGGCTATGGAGGTGTCCCATTGGAGAATATGAATGATGATACACCCAGGGGGTTGGGGTGGGAGACCAGGGTCAAGGGTGACAGTGGATTACGTGTCTCAGAGTCGGCTGCACCCAGGCAGTGCCGGACACGTTCACTCCCAATAAATCCTTTGGAAGTTTTGGAAGTTTGGCTCGAGGCTCATGATTTAAATGGGATAACTGCCGGAATCCTGACATGCACCTCTCGGCTTTCCTACGGCCTGCACAGCGCATCCAAGATCGTTGCCTTCCCTTGCATTTTTGCCTCTGCTGCTTGGACAGGTAATCGACTCACCTGGGCTGCACAACCACAGAGTGCGCCAACCAAGGAGTTGGCGGGCTGCAGCTGCTACCGGATACCGTCGGTCCCCACACTCTTGCCTTGTGCATGAACTGGTGGTTGAGTCGTCCAGCCGGACTGATCACCCTGATATCACCCTGTGTGTGTGTCAAGAGAACCTAAAACAGGGGTGTCCAACCTTAATTGTGTTTCCCCGAATATAAGCCCTAATGCATCTGTTGAAGGCAAATATATGTATGTATGTATGTATGTATGTATGTATGTATATGTGCGTGTGTTTTCTTAAGTTTTCGCGGGTACTTACATGTATGGTATTCAGCTTTGTTCGGGTACTTTCCCACGTCATTATAGTTGTGCTTTTAAAGTTGCAGCAACGTTTCGGCAGAATCTCATCTGCCATCATCAGGCTTCTGTATTGTGTTCGTCTGAACCGTTAGCGGAGAGGCAGTTTCTGTAAGCAACACCAGAATGTTTCCTTTCTGCCTTCCTTACAGGATTAGCCCAGTAATTTCTTCTAACAACCGGTTCCCCGAACTGCTTAGAAGGTTAACAACCGGTTCTAGCGAATAGGCGCAAACTGGTAGAATCCCACCCCTGGCCCAATCACACTTGGCCAATAAAAGAACTATTGTCTATTCTGTTTATTCTCTTATAAGCTCCTGGTCCTCAAACCATTTGGAATCATTTCTTTCTTTTTTTTTTCCCCACGACAGGATTACACCCATGAATTCCACAAAACCAAAACCAACTTCCTGGCAGTGCGGGAAAGGGAGAACCTCATGGGCTCAGTCCGGAAAGATATTGAGTAAGTTGCTCTTAATTGCTTTCATAATATTATTCTAATTGCAGCTGGTCCTCGGCTTAAAGCCATTCCTTTAGCGACCGTTCGTAGTTACACCGACACCCCCCAAAAAGTGACGTGATTATTTTTCCCACTTAACATTTGTGAAGTGAGTTTTTGCCTCGTTTTACGACCTTTCTTGCCACCGTTATGAAGTGAATCGCTGCAGTTGTTAAGTTAACGACACGGTCGCTAAGCGAACCTGGCCTCCCCATGGACTTTGCTTGTCAGATGGTCGCAAAAGGGGATTGCACAAGCCCAGAGGACACTGGGACCGTCATAAATGTGAGTCAATATCCATCTGAATGTTGATCAGGTGACGGGGGGGGGAATGCCACCATGGTCATAAGTGTGGAAAACAATCATAAGTCATTTTTTTCCAATGTGGAGCTGTCACTAAACAAATGGCTATAGGTCAAGGACTACCTGTAGGCCTTTGCATTTGGGATTTCTGTTTGCAGGTCTCTGCAGTCTTTCTGAAGCTGTTAATAAAATAATAAATGATTTGCATTATGGTAGTATTTACTTAGCTCTGCTCCCTGAACTTAAGATAACATCATATATTCCTTTGAGGCTTCACACTCACCCAAAAACAACAGGGCACGATCTTGTTATAAACAAGTGTGTGTGTGAGAGGAAGAGGGAGAGAGAGAAAGGAGAGAGAAGAGAGGACAGAGAGAGAACAGGAAGAGAGGAGAGAGAAGAGAGAGAAGAGAAACAGGAAAGAGAGAGGAGGACAGAGAGGAGAGAAGAAGAGAGAGAGAAGGAGAGAGAAAAGAGAGGAGGGAGAGAGAAGAGAAGGGAGAAGAGAGGAGACAGAAAGGAGAAGAGGGGAGGGAGAGAAGAGAGAGAAGAGAGGACAGAGAGGACAGGAAGAGAGGAGAGAGAAGAGAAACAGGAAAGAGAAGAAGACAGAGGAGAGAAGAAGAGAGAGAGAAGGAGAGAGAAAAGAGAGGAGGGAGAGAGAAGAGAAGGGAGAAGAGAGGAGACAGAAAGGAGAAGAGGGGAGGGAGAGAAAGGGGAGAGAGAGAGAAGAGAGAGATGGAGGAGAGAGAGAAAGAGAGAGGAGAGAACATGAAGGAGTGCAAATTTGGCCTTGTGTTCAATGCAGGGAGTCCTCGACTTACAACCGTTTGCTTAACGGTCGTTCAAAAGTTACGATGTCCCAAAACTACTTACGATCTGCTTTCAAAGTTACGATGGCCGCAAACACACACACACACACACACACACACACACACACACACACGGCTGAAAGGGATTAGAAATAGTGGTGAAATCTGCCGGTTCACACGGTAGCTCTAGTGAGCAAATTGGCCCCGGCCATCCACCGTTTCCTGCCCTATATTTCCTTGTGTTTTAGCTCAGTTGATTCACGCTGTTTTACTCACCAGCGCTTTTACGTTTTTAAGCTTAAAATGGACAGTTTTTGAATACGACGCACAACGCATGCAAAGCGCGCTCTCAATAGAACTGGTAGTAAAAAAATTTTGAATCCCACCATTGGTTAGAAAAGTAATATTCCAAAGAAAGCAGTTAGGCTGGGCGGTTCTCCATAAATCAGGAGTGAGCAACTGTGGCCCCTTTAAGAATTAAAATAGAATAGAATTCTTTTTATTGGCCAAGGGTGATTGGACACCCAAGGAATTTGTCTTGGTGCAAATGCTCTCAGTGCACATAAAAGAAAAGATACTGTTAGGAATGTAAGTCACCTAACAGTTGGGTTGGAAATATATAAACCAGGATAGACATTTTAATACTGTCTCTTTAAGGGAATACTAAAATTGTAACTGGGTGTGGTTCCTCAAATGGCCATAAGATGGAGCCAGAAACCTGGTTTCCCAGAGTGTTGCCATTCCTGCATTTCTCTATTGACTGTTGCTTATCATCGTTATTCTTGGATTTGATGTAAGTCTGTTACCGAACTGTTTATGATACTGGACTTTGTTATTGGATTATCCCTAGACTGAAAACTGACTGCTATAACCGTGTATGAGTTGGACTGTTTGTTGGACTTTGCTTAACCGTTTACTGGAAGTAAAACCTACATTTTACCATACAGCGCAGCTGTGTGCTGTGTGTGTGTTATTCAACATTACTCTCACTATGTCTCCCTGTGTGTATTCATTCTCCTAACGGGGAATTACCTCAACAGATACATTCATCAAGAGTCAAGAATCATCAGGTGCAACACTTAATCGTCACAGGGTGCAATAGAATAGAATGGAAGGATATAGGAATAGAAATTAAATAGAATGGGATGGGATAGGGAATAGAATAGAATAAGAATTAGAATAGAATAGTGATTAGAAAGAATAGAATAGAAATTAGAAAGAATAGAATAGAAATTAGAAGAGAATAAAACAGAGAATAGAATTAGAATAGAACTGAATAGAATAGAATTGAATAGAATAGAATTCAATTCTTTATTGACCCAGTGTGATTGGACAAACAAGGAATTTGTCTTTGGTGCAGATGCTCTCAGTGTACATAAAAGAGAAGAGACATTCGTCAAGAATCATAAGGTACTTTGTAAATAGTTGGAATAGGTATTTAAAATCAGAATTTAAAATCTGAATTTGTCATTTATAGTTGCCAACAGAAAGGCGGGCGGGGGGCGAGAAGGAGTTTGAAGGAGCAGTGCTGGCAGCTTAAAACCAAAAGTGCATTCCATTCACATCTTGCAAGGATTGTAACGAAGCAACTGGAATTTCGGCTGGGAAAATTCCTAATTGGAGAACGTGATTGTTGACTCTCAGCTATGAACGTGTTTCGGTTGGAGAATATGAATTATGATACACCCCGAGGGGTGGGGTGGGGGAAACAGGGTCATAGGTGATAGTAAATTACGCGTCTCAAAATCGGCTTCATGCAGGTCGTGCCGACATGTTCGCTCCTAATAAATCCTTCGAAGTTTTTGAAGCTCGGCTTCGAGGCTCATGATTTAATTAGGGGCGACTGCCGGAATCCTGACAGCAAGCCGCTTTCTAATAGAATTTCACTTTTCACCTCTCTTCTCATTTTTATCCTCACACCTTCCAGGTCATACAAAAGCGGTTGTGGTGTCAACAACAGGCGAACAGAACTTTTCTTGAAGGAGAACGAACATCTGCGAAAGTAAGTTGGCGTCCCACGCGGGATATTGTTCTCTTCGGAGCCGCCTTGCTAAATCCGTTGCTTCCCAATTTGCGTTTCTTGATTTTGTCTTTATCCCCCCACCTTTTATTATTTTTACCAGTAACTCAACACACCGGCTTTTATGTTGCTTTTTCAAAAGGCTTTCTTTGTTTTTCTTTGAAGAGGTTTTGCTTCTCATCCGAGGAGCTTGATCCGTTCTGATTGAATAGTGGAGGGATTTATATTCTTTGCAGTCCTCTGGTTGTTAGCGCTCTCTCTGAGAGTCATTGTTGCCGCTTGGAAGTTCATTTTTTTTCCCCCAGGTTTACTTGAACTGTGAATTTGGAAGTAACTTTGGAAGCCGGATTTGTTAAGTGAATTTTGTCCCATTTTACCAACTTTCTGGCCACCGTTGTTAAGTGAATCACTGCAGTTATTCAGGTGGCAACCCGGTTGCTAAGTGAATCTGACTTCCCTCATTGACTTTTGCTCGTGAGAAGGTTGCAAAAGGAGATCGCATGACCTTGGGACGCTGCGACCGTCATAAACATGAATCCGTTGCCAAGCGTCCGAATTTTGATCATGTGGGGATGCTGCAACGGTCGTAAGTGTGAAAAACAGTCATAAGTCTCTTTTTTCTTCAGTGCCGTTGACGGCCTCTCTTGTCCACCATTGTTGAGTGAATCGCTGCAGTGGTTAAGTCAGCAACTTGGTTGTTAAGTGAATCTGATTTCTCCCCCGACAAAGTGAAGTCTCAAAAGAGAATCCCATGACCCTCCCAAGACTCTGTGACCGTCATAAATACGAGAAGTTTGCCCAGTGCCTGAATTTTGATCCCGGGGCCAGCGTCGCAAGGGGGGAAATGATCCTAAATCATTATTTTTTTTATAGCGCCGCTGTAAATTTGAACGGTCACTAAATGAACCATTGTAAGTCAGGGACTCCCTGACTCAGCTTTCCGACTTAAACACATATGCAGGATTGAAAAGCGGTTCATAAGTCGCATTTTTTTCCCAATGCTGTTGTAACTTTGAATGGTCGCTAAATGAAGCGTGTGTCGAGGACTGCCTGGACTGGCCTTGGACTCAGCTTTCCGACTTATATATATATGCAGGATTGTCCGTTGTGCTCCCGTGACGTTTAGTTACCTGGGTTGTATTTCTATCATGGTTTGATAAAGAAAAAGTCCCTGTCTAAGACAGCCGCGGCATCTCACCTCCAGGGGGCGCCGTTCCTTCAAAAATGGTCCCTTTTGGGGAGGTTATCAAATGTTGTTTTTCCCTACACACACACACACACACACACACAAAAGCCCGTTGTGGTGTTTTGCAATGAAGTGTGCGTATAACATAAACCGGACAGGATTCTTTTATTTCTTGTTTTTTTTCCCTGCTGCTGATGGGCAGATGGACTGCAAGCGGATGGAAAATCACAGCAGTTTCTCAGCGTGTCTTTGGGACTCTGCTCAAGGATGGAAATAACTGAGTTGGAAGGGACCTTAGAGGTCTTCTAGTCCAACCCCGCAGAGAGAATACAGAATAACAGAGTTGGAAGGCCCTCCTCCTCCTCCTCCTCCTCACAAACCCTCCTACCACTCTAGCACTGATGAGGTTCCCTAGTTGGGTCATGAAATGTTTGCAAAAAAATCACCAAGGTCAGAGAGCCACAGTTGTCGTCCTCCTCCTTCTCCTCCTTCACTACCACCACTACCACCCTCTTCCTCCTCCTCTTCCCTTCTAACACTGATGATATTATCTAGTTGGGTCATGAGACGTCTGCAAGAAAACCACCAAGCCCAGAGGGCCACAGTTGTTTTCCTCCTCCTCCTCCTTCCTCCTTCCTCCTCTTCCTCCTCCTCCTCCTCTTCTCTTCCTCCTCCTCTTCTCTTCCTTCTCCCCTCTTCCTCCTCCCGTCCTCCTCCTCCTCCTCTTCTCTTCCTTCTCTTCCTCCTCTCTTCATCCTCCCCTCTTCCTTCTCCCCTCTTCCTCCTCCCGTCCTCCTCCTCCTCTCTTCCTCCTCCTCCTCCTCCTCTTCCTCTTCCCCTCTTCCTCCTCCCCTCCTCCTCCTTCTCCTCCTCCTCCTCCTCTTCCTGTTCCTCCTCTCTTCCTCCTCCCCCTTCTCCCCTCTTCCTCCTCCTCCTCCTCCTCTTCTTCTTCCTCCTCCTCTTTTCCTCCTCCTCCTCCTCCTTCTCCTCTCTTCCTCTTCCCCTCTTCCTCCTCTTCCTCCTCCTCCTTCTCTTCCTCCTCCCCTCTTCCTTCTCCCCTCTTCCTCCTCCTTCTC